GTGCCAATCCTGCACGTAGGCCACTTACTTCCGGAAAAGCCCGAAGAAGTCTGAAGCACAAAAACCCAGATTTACTTTAGTAAAATATCATATTTCAGGAGTGATCTAATATTATGAGAAAACTATAAATGTATTTTGCTAACTTATACATGCCCAATAAAATAGTAAGCATAAAGTTTGAGAAATTATAAGAACGTTTTTGTTGTAACTATGTAGTTGCCGAACGCACTTAGCAACCACGAGTCAGTGACGTCATCATGCTTATGGCGCGTACGTAACTTCTTAAAGGGGAATTCCCAGATCCCTACATATAGATAGAATAAACGCTGAAAAGATCGAATAAAGACGGCGGCGGCGGTGGCGGTGTCTGCGCAGGTCAGAGGAGTTCCAAGTTGCGCGCGCGCGCGTTCTTCTCCTCGCCGTCGAGGTACATCCGCGTTCTTGTTAGCAATTTATTTGAAATGATCTCATCATTGTCCATTTAATAATGTTTATTTCCTGGTTCTGCTCTGTTATATGTCGATCGTATACGTATCGGGTTTATTTGTCAATAGACATGACTAAGCAAATAAAATGTGCATGGTTCAAAAACTTTCCATTGAGACGGGCTAACTTGTCACATATTTTTTCATGTATAATTCTTTGTTTCACATTGTTGATATCGATCCCACGTGTTCGAGGTTTGTATAGTCTTTATTGTCTATGTGCTTCATAAATTGTACTTGGTTGTTGCAGCGCAGTGTTGTGATGACGAGGCTCTAGGCTCGATTCTGTGCCAATTCGCGCCCGTGTAGCAGGAATCCCACCATTGCATTTAGAATACAAAACTGGTGTGTTAAAACTTCGCATTCTGCGTTTCTTACAGGCTGCAACTGCAAGTATTGAATAGGAGGTTGCAGCTCCAGTTATCTCTGCAAATAATGGTCGCCCCGTCATAAAGCGTAATAAACAATTTAAAAAAACATAATCACCCCAATCCTGTGTTCACCAGTGTTGTAGTGGAGTACTTTTTTTTCCGAGTACCGAGTACTGCCGAGCACTTCGGTTGCCGAGTACGAGTACGAGTACTTGTACCTCCGCGTACAAGAACAGGTCTCCGAGTACGAGTACTTGTACTTCCGAGTACGAGTACGAGTACTTCCGAGTACGAGTACTTGTACTTCCGAGTACGAGTACGAGTACTTCCGAGTACGAGTACGAGTATTTTCGAATACGGCCATACAGCAAATGGTTCATTGTGCGTAATTGGCCCAGGCCCAGTCAGACCGTTGTACAGACCGACTCACAGCTAGCTGTTAAATGTGTTTGTCCGGACGCGCGTTCACAGATGAAAATCAGGATTTTCGATTTCTCTACAAGCCAATCAAACATTTCAAACGGAAAGTATCGATTAAATAAGGCCATGGTAACTAAAGCTGTATACCATTTTTTTCCCCCGAGTACTGCTATTCGAGTACGAGTACTTTAATGGTCAAGTACAAATGTTGACATGTCGAGTACGAGTACTTTGCTGCCCGAGTACGAGTACTGTCATTTCGAGTACGAGTACTTTGACATTCGAGTACGAGTACAAGTACTCCAAGAAAAGTACTCGAGTAGTACTTGAGTACGAGTACCGAGTACGAGTACTACAACACTGGTGTTCACCGTAAGTTCTTTTCAGAGTCACTTCACGTTTTACGGATATTTACTTCACATGATGTATCCGTTAAACACTCTACGTAAACCTTGCCACTAAAAAAGCCTAGTACCGGATCGAGCTGAGCCGAGCCTGCACAAGCCAAGCCGAACGGAGCCCCAGCTCAGCCCAGCCCAGCCTAGCCCAGCAAAGACTTACCAAGCCCAGCCATACTAGATTAGCCTAGCCCAGATCAGCCGAGCCCAGCCCAACCCAACCCAACCAAGCCCATCACAACCTACTGCCAATCCTAATCCAACCCAACCGAACCCAGCCAATCGAAGTCCAGGCAGCCCAGCCCAGCCCATCCCATCAAGCCACACCCAACCCACATCCAACCAAGCCAAAGACCAGCACAGCCCAACAACAAGTCCAGCCCAACCCAACCCAAGACTCAATCCAATCATAAAACCCTGCTCTGACCCATCAAGCTGAAACTACAGGCTTTCATAAAACCAAAGAAGCCGGGTTAAGAAATCAAAAGGGATAGCCATACTTTAAACAATTATCTTCTCAATGTAATATATACTTCATCTAATTATGTCCATGTACAAAACAACAAAACACAAAAATCAATGCGATCCAAATAATTTCACTTTATTCAAGAAAAAAATATTTTAGTCGACAATCAACAAATCTGCGAAACCACATGATTATTGGCTAAACATGAAGTAATTTTATTTTTTTGATTAAGTAGTCTTTTAAGTAAGGTAATAAGCTGACGAAATCGGTGCAACAAAAGCATGAACATTAATGAAGATTTTTTTTCCAAATCGCAAAAGACGCCATTTTGTTATTATTTACAATTCCACCCTCCCCCTCCCCTACTTAAAAGTGATAAGCGAAAACTCAAGTTGAGAAACAGAATGTAATACCAGTTTCATTCTGTTATAAGTTTCATAATCGTGAAGTTTCTCACGTTATTCAAAAAGCGCGCTTTGAAAAAACTCTTCAAATCATTAAAATACTTCAAATCATTAAAATACATTAAAATAGACAAGAATAAGTAATTTAAACTTGCGCCTTTTTTGATGAAATGTATACGTTACACGTTTTGCTTGAATAGATGTCTTGATAATTTTATAAATTACATGCCAAAGGGGAAGAAATTTCAAAAAAAAAATCACGATTTTGCATGTATGTCCTTGCGAAGTCCACCGTTCATGCGTACATTGTACACGAACAGCTGTTACATGCTTCGACACTAATACCTAATAAGTACAGAAAACTGAACATGAATTCAGTTCGTCCCAATCTGGCAGAATTATCCTGCAACTGTTTCGAGATCCTCTTATCCCACTTGTCAAGATAGTTACTTAACCACGCAGTTATATTTACAGCAGCTTTGGTTATACATTGCTACAAAGGGAAGCTCTATTTTCTATAGTATTAAATGTTAAGACGAGGAAATAATAAACAAGACAACTGGCAAGCTTCCTTTAGCTCGCCCCTTAAACTTGGTATAAGTAGTCAAAGTAGCCATCTGAGTGATATTTGGGGGCCCAGGTGAGGCTTTAACAAATCATATTCACAGGTGCCAGTCCAACAGTGAGTCAGTGAGATGGGTACAAAGAGGACTGTAGGTTGGCCCTCTGGGACCAGCACAAAGGTAATCTCATTGGTTCGATTACAAACAGAAGCATTCTGACAGTCTGCAGTTGTGACGGATGACAACAAAAAAGGACTCCTTTGATGACGATTTAATTGTTTCTCATGTATTGTACCAATAGCAAAATGTGTGACGGGTTTTGTACACTCGGAAGTTGAATGCGGATGCGGTTCAATCTGCAATTAATATAAAACCAAAAAATACAATAAGTCTCTAAAATTATGTCAAAATGTACCTGCATATAAATGAATCAATTACAATATGAACTAAATGAATTAAACTGACTGATTTGATCCCCAAACTCATGAAATTGTGTCTAGCGTGAATTATTTCCTCATTAAAAACTACATGTATGTGCCTTAGTACATCAATGTTTACATTAAAATTAATATCCAAGTCTCCAAAATTAACCTTGGTTGACAGTAATCCATATAAACTGATGAAACTGATGTGAGAATCATGTGTCACGTGCATTATTTAGTAAACGTGTATAAAACGTGCATCGCTAATTCTACCCAAATTTTATCCCCAAAAGTTGACCCAAAATAACTATATCTAATGACCATAATTATTACCCCCCTTTATACACAATTATCTTTAACCCTTTTTCTAAATCTCTAAACAATTATAAGTACTCACAACATTGGGCGTATCGAATAATGATGCAAAGTCAAAGGAACCTTTTGACGGATTTCTACAAACTTGACAAAAATATGTGACAATGCTGGCGCGCTGAGAGCGCCCTCTGTTGACCAAGAAAATTCCACGCCTATGACGTCACGAACGAACTGGAAAACTTTCCTACCCGCAACATCCCGGCCCCTTAAATGAGAATACTAAATTATGATCATTTACTAAAATTACACTGAACTATGTTGCTCCTTTAACTTGAACTATGAACTAGTTTCTAAAACTGCTACTTTAGTAATAACAAACATGAACATTTTAACATGTGGCTATAATACGCTGAACATTAACTGATCCATCATGGGGAAATTAACTGCAAATAGAAAAACTGCTTGTTTTACAACTTGACTCCAGATCTGATAGAAATACATGCATATTGTGCTTCATCTACTCAGAATTCCACTGTAACTTTCTCTTCAGCAGTAGCAAATTTCACAAGGAATTCAAACCATGCATAATCAAATCCAAACTATTTTCAGAGATTGGCAACATTGTCACATGCAATACAAATCACATACCTACGGTGTCTTGAAAATGTTTTACCACAATCAGTAGAATTTCAAGATGAGATCTAATTTGGGCAGTAATCATATGCAGTAATAACAACAATTATAACACAATTAAGCAACATTTAAATGCAACTTGCATAAATCTGAAAATCACTAGATTTGACAAACTTAAAGTGGCACTCTGATCATTGTCAATCATGGATAAAAAATGTCTTGCAATGTTCTCGAAGATTGTGCAGTCCAACTCAGAAATGTTCGATTGTCCGAGATGACTGTTTCTCTCTTGACTTGTTCCGGTGCTCCACGGGTGTGCGATTCAGCCTGATACATGTAGGGTGGAGTGTGGCCAATTCAAAGGCTCAAAAAAGAGGCGGCGCTAGGCTCGTACCTCTGTCATACTTCAATGCATGACATCATTTACATGTGCAAATTCCACAAATGACACACTGATACTCTCCTCTTGCCTACTCGGTACTCCAAAACTGGTGTAAAGCACTCCAATATAAAGGTTGATACCTCATCTCTCCTTGGCTTCTGCAGACTCCATCAGACATAGCTTGTGGATGGGCCTGACGAGTGTGGTTGACCTTGTCTTTATTTTTGCCGATCGGACCAGCTTGTCTTCACCAGCGTAGATCTCGACTCCTCTCCCCAAGGACCACTGGTTTCTCGGTTGATCCTCAACAATGAGAACGATGTCTCCGACCTCAATGTTCCGTACTGGCTCGTTCCACTTGCCTCTCTGCTGCAGTGTGGGTAGATACTCTCGTATCCATCTGCGCCAAAAGACATCCGCAAGATACTGCACATGTCGCCACCTTTTACGGCTGAACTGGTCTTGCTTCTGGAATACATCGACTGGCAATGCGCTGTTCTGACGCAACAGGAGAAGATGGTTTGGCGTCAAGGGTTCTGGATCTCTCGCGTCATCAGATACTACTGTAAGTGGGCGTCCGTTGATCACTGATTCAACCAAGCACATCATGGTTGATAGGCTTTCGTCATGCAGAACTTGCTGCTTCATTACAGTGTTCAGAATTTTCCTGACTGTTCTGATCTGTCTCTCCCAGGGTCCTCCCATGTGGGACGCTGCCGGTGGGTCGAATTTCCATCTGATCCCCTTTTGAAGAAGATATTCATGGACCTGCTGCTTGTTCCATCGTTTGATCCCTTCCCTCAGCTCACGCTCAGCTCCGACAAAATTGGTGCCGTTGTCGCATCTGATAAGTTCTGGTTGACCGCGTCTGGCCATGAATCGCTGCAAGGCATTGAGAAAGGAGTCGGTCTCCATAGAATGCAGAACTTCGATGTGAACTGCTCTAATCGCCAAACAGGTAAAGATACAGCCGTATCTTTTCACTTGACTTCGGCCTTGCTTGACCAAAAATGGCAAAAAACAGTCTACTCCTACGTAGTTGAATGGCGGTTTCTCAGGGGTTACTCGGTCTTCAGGTAGATTGGCCATCTTCTGAATGCTGGGTGAAGCTGATCGGCGTTTGCACACAAAACAATCATGCAACACCTGTCGTACTGTGGTTCTTCCTCCGATCACCCAGTACTGCTGTCTCATTAATGACATTACATGCTCTCTCCCTGAGTGACCCGATACAGCATGAAAGTGTCTCACCAATAGCTTGACAATGTGATTCTTCTTTGGAAGGATGACGGGATGTTTTTCTTGTGTCTGCAGCTTGGAATTCTTCAATCTCCCTCCGACGTACATCACTCCTTCACTGTTGATTTTTGGGTCCAGTCTGTAGAGAGGACTGTATTTCTTCACAGGGTTGGCGGTTGTGTGCAGTGTCTGGTATTCATCTGTGTAGGCTTGTCGTTGAACGTGTCTGATGATTGCTTGTTCTGCCTTGTCAAGATCATCTACTGTAAGTGGCTTCTTCATGTCACTTGGCACACGTCCATTCTTGTTCTGCAAGTACTCTCTCACTCGCAAGATCCATGCTACAGCCTTCTTTAGCCCGTGCCACGATGAGTAGTGTTGGAGTAGTTTGTCTGTCGCCTTGTTCTCTTCGGAATCTACAGCAAATATCTGCACTTGCTCCTTGCTTTTCTTAAGCTCCGGATCACTCTGTCTTAGGGGTTCCATAACTTGTGGTTCCTTTGGCCAGTGTTCTTGTGGCATTAGGAGGAACTCTGGTCCTTGTAGCCACCTTGTGCTCTTCTTAAGCTCACCGGCTGACATCCCTCTTGATATGTCATCAGCATGGTTTGACTTTGTGTCTACATAATGCCACTGACTTGCTTCTGATGCATTATGTATGGTAGCTATCCTGTTGGCTGCAAATGTGCGAAACCTCCCGTCTGTACTTCGAATGTACTGCAGCACAATGGTGCTATCTGTCCAGAATGTCGAGTAGATCAGTTCCTGTACATCTAACTCTCTCTTCACTGCAACATCAAGCTTAGCAGCAAGGGTCGCTGCTGCAAGCTCAAGACGAGGTATCGTCATTGTTTTTAATGGCGCTAGATGAGACTTGGCCATCACCAGACTGCTGTGTAGCTCACTGCTGGTGTTCTTCATGACAAGGTAGGACACTGCTCCATAAGCCTTCTCTGAGGCATCTGCAAAATGATGCAACTGGTATTCTGTCACTGTGCCAAAGCCATGTGGCTTCACACATCTGTTAACTTCAAACTCCTTCATCTCTGCTAGCTCTTCTGACCAACCTTGCCATATTTGTCGGTGCTCTTCTGGCACTGGATCATCCCATCCCAGCTTCATTCTTGTCAGCTCCTGGAGTAGCAGTCTCGCTCTCAGGATGAACGGGTTGGCATATCCCAGGGGGTCATAGATTGATGACACAATGCTCAATAGCCCACGTCTCGTCAGGGGCTTGTCCTTAGGTGACAACTTGTATCCCAAACAGTCTCTTTCAACATCCCAGCTGACGCCCAAGGCTCTGTCAACAGGTAGAGCATCAAGGTTTAGGTCAAGACCCTTCAACTGCTTGGATCGTTCTTCAGTAGGGATGGACTTCAGGACACTTGGTTTGTTACTCAGCCACTTGGTCAATTTGAATCCGCCTCTTTGCAGCAGATTTCTCAGCTCATCCGATAGATTCACAGCCTTCTCTTCAGACTCGACGGAAACCAGGCAGTCGTCAACATAGAAATTGCGCTTCACAATTTCTACAGCTTCAGGACTGAACTGGTCTTGGTTATCATCGGCTGTTTGGCGCAGTGCAAAATTGCAGCAACTGGGGCTCCAGGTCCCGCCGAACAGGTGCACACACATCCGATACACCTTTGGTTGTTGAGTCATGTCGCCGGATGGCCACCATAGGAACCTCAACACATCTCGTTCTTCCACTGGTACTCGAACTTGATGAAACATGGCCTCCACATCTGCCATGAAGGCGACTGGTCCCTGTCTGAATCTCAGCAAGACTCCGGTAAGTTTATTTGTCAGATCTGGCCCTTGCAGAACTTCATCATTGAGAGACACACCTCCGCTCTTAGCTGCACAATCGAACACGATGCGTAGTTTGTCGGGTTTCATGGGGTGAAAAACTGGATGGTGAGGAAGATACCAGATAGCCTGATCTTCAGACTGACATTCTTGTTTCTCTACTTCCTCAGCATACCCCTTCTTGAGTAAGTCCTCGATGCCTTCTTGGTACTTACGACGGAGACTGTCATCTTTGCCAAGCTTTCTTGCAAGACTCTGCAACCTCTGTTCTGCTAACCACCGATTATTTGGCAGGCATGGAGGATGACGCTTGAATGGCACTGGTAACTGATAATGTCCTCCATCAATGCTTATTCCACCTTTCCACATCTTCAGAGCTCTTTGGTCGTTCACTGACATGCCTCTTTCATCATGTAGTGTATCGGATGCCTCCAGCTTCCAAAACTTATGAACCTGTTCTTCCAGGCCGATGTCTCCTTGAATGAAGGTAGAGGTAGCATGAGTGTTCTGCTCTGTTGTGCCGACTTTGTTCACTGGGCCATGTAGCGACCATCCCAATGCCGTTCGCACAGCATAGGGTCCGTCCTTTGCCTTTCCTCTTCTTATTTCGAGAGGCATCAGTGCTCTCGGAATATCTTGACCAATCAGGAGTCCAACTTCATTCTCGCCTGCAAACGGTAGGTCAATACCCTGCAGGTAGGGTAGTCCAGCTATCTCTTCCATCTTGGCCATGTGGGTACTCTGAATGTTGATCTTGTGTTTGGTGAACACATTTGGCAACTCTATACGGTCTGTGGCTGGTCCCGAGTCCACAATCAAGCTCACTCTTGTGGTGTCTATGGAGCTGCCCATCTTGTCAAGTGTTGTCAGGTTGAGCCTTTGTTTGGCCCCTTCAACTCCAAGCTGTCGTGCCAAGTGTTCTGTACAGAATGTATTTGTCGAACCAGTGTCCAACAATGCATGGGTGCGGATGAAGACACTGCCGCCGGCAGCTTTCACTCGAACAGGGACAATGGGCAGCACGGTCCTGCCGGCCCCTGTGACGTTACTGCAACTTGCTTCAGCGGCTGAATCAATGTAGCCATTCTGTACCGGGGCATCTAGTGATGTGTTGGCTTGGGACGCTGCTTCTTCATGCTGTTGCACTGTCTGCGGGATGTGAAGGAATTTCGTATGTTTCCTTCCACAACCAGAAACAGTACATGTCCTGTTCAGCCTGCACGCTGATGTCATGTGACCTCTGCGCAGACAGTTGAAGCACAATCTCTCTTGCTTGGCATAACTCAGCCTGTCTTGTGGTGATTTTGCCTTGAACTGCTGGCAACCAAATAGGGTGTGTTCTCCCTTGCATAGAGAACACTCTCTGGTGACTACTCTCTCTGGTACAGATGCCACTGCAAAGGACCCCTTCTGTCTCGGCTGTGTGCGTCTTTTCTGAGGAACATCACGGCTTCTCTCCCAAGTAGATGTACCATACACAGGGTTATTCTCCTCTTCTGCTACATCATCTATGTAGGCCACAAGATCCTTCACCTTTGGCATTCGATCTTCCTTCCTTTCGAGGTCTCTGACCTTTCGGACCCATCGATAGCGCAAGTAGTTGGGCAAGCGCTCAACAATGTCTCTCAGAAAACTCTGGTGTGCCATCTCATTTTCGTAGCCCATAGCCTGGAGGGTTTCGTAGCAGACTTTCAGCTCATCTGCCATTTCTCTGATGGCTTTTCCATCATGGGGTGACACTGTTTGGCCTCGGGTGACTTTCTTCATCCATGCATCAGCAACTTTATATTTGTTTCCAAATCTCTCCTTCAACAAGGTTTTGGCTCGAGCATAACCTTGTGTCGACTCCATCACAGAGCATGCTTGAATCACTCTGCGTGCTTCCCCCTTGCAGTAATGAAGAAGTCTTGTCAGCTTGGCAGCGTTGCTTATTGTCGTGCTGTCTACATTCACCTCGAAAGCTCTCCAAAATTCCCAAAACTTGAGGGGATCTCCTTCGTAGCACATCAGCTCTGCTTTCGGTAACTGCAATGTCTCAATGAGGCTCTGCTGCTGTTGCTTTGATTGTCGCAACATCTCATTGATGGCTTCGGTAGGGGGTGGCGTTTCTTGCGGCGTTGACGATTGATGATCTTCAATGGGGTATGGGACTGTGTCACCGCTTGTATCATCATCATGCGGTGATGGATCGGGCTGCGATGGGGAGTCTTCATCAGGGGGAGATGGTGTTGACTGAGATGGAGAAACTGGGCTTGTTTTCTCGTCATCGAACTGGGCATAAACTTTTGCCTCCGCTTCTGCACAGCTGAGCTTGGTTTTCATTTGAAGCTCAGTTCTCCTTTGGTGGAGCCTCAATTCCTGTAGCTCAAGCTCTTGTTGTTCTTTAAGAGCTTCAACTTCTGCTTGAAGTGCAGCACTCCTCACCATGGCCTCCATTCTGGCTCTTCTGCTGGATGAGGTGCTTGTCGTATGGCTGCACTGACTGGCCGAATCTTCCGGCTTGACATCATCTTCATGACTTGGTGACGTAGTACTCATGTTGTCGATTTATGACGCTGTTATTGAACTTAATGTGACGGATGACAACAAAAAAGGACTCCTTTGATGACGATTTAACTGTTTCCCATGTATTGTACCAATAGCAAAATGTGTGACGGGTTTTGTACACTCAGAAGTTGAATGCGGATGCGGTTCAATCTGCAATTAATATAAAACCAAAAAATACAATAAGTCTCTAAAATTATGTCAAAATGTACCTGCATATAAATGAATCAATTACAATATGAACTAAATGAATTAAACTGACTGATTTGATCCCCAAACTCATGAAATTGTGTCTAGCGTGAATTATTTCCTCATTAAAAACTACATGTATGTGCCTTAGTACATCAATGTTTACATTAAAATTAATATCCAAGTCTCCAAAATTAACCTTGGTTGACAGTAATCCATATAAACTGATGAAACTGATGTGAGAATCATGTGTCACGTGCATTATTTAGTAAACGTGTATAAAACGTGCATCGCTAATTCTACCCAAATTTTATCCCCAAAAGTTGACCCAAAATAACTATATCTAATGACCATAATTATTACCCCCCTTTATACACAATTATCTTTAACCCTTTTTCTAAATCTCTAAACAATTATAAGTACTCACAACATTGGGCGTATCGAATAATGATGCAAAATCAAAGGAACCTTTTGACGGATTTCTACAAACTTGACAAAAATATGTGACAATGCTGGCGCGCTGAGAGCGCCCTCTGTTGACCAAGAAAATTCCACGCCTATGACGTCACGAACGAACTGGAAAACTTTCCTACCCGCAACAGCAGTGCATTGTGGTTACTTTTTGACACGCCCTGTATAATTGTATTGTGACTATGAATTCAGGATTTTTTACATTTCCGATATTTATCATGGAAAACTTTTGTCAACAAAGAACCGATATTGGTGCGCGGCATAGCCCTGATATGCTAAAGGATTGTGCAAATTGTGATAAAAGCATGAAACTTTGCATGCTGGTTCTTCATCCCATGATTTTTTTTTTAGATATAAAGGCATTTCATATTTGACCTCTGGTGACCTTTGAGAGGTCAGTGGACTTTACATACTCTATTCATAACGTTTGTTCTTCAAAACTTCACTTTCCTATGACCCTTTGTCATGGCTCTTCATATCATGAAAATAGTGATCAGATGTGGGAACATTTCATATCTGACCTCTGGTGACCTTTGAGAGGTAAATGACCTTTGTAAACCTGTTTATTGATATTTGTACCATTTATTCTTTAAACCCCATCTTTTTTCACAATTCAAGTCTAAATGAAAGGTTTTCATGCTATAAAGAGGATTTTCATATATAGGACATTTTATTTTCAACCACTGGTGACCTTACCAAAAAGGGCAATATTACTGTTCAGAATAAAAGCAATTGTTAACAAAAGAAGGGAACTCTTTACAAATGCGAGGGGGGGGGGTAAGCAGTGGTGAAAAAAGGGTCATTTGAATGGAAAAGGGCAGTCTTTACAAAAAAAAATGGGGGGGGGGGAGTAAATACCCCTCTTACTCCCCCCCCCCCCCCCGACCCCGCTGGTTACGCCTATGAGAGGGGTTCCGACGCATGCATGTTACCTTACACAGCAAAAGGTGTGTTTAGAGCTTGTGCATATTCTCTAAAACAGTTAAGTTTTTCCACGCATTTTATAAAACGACTTGTTTAGGTTTATGGATGTGGCATGTTTAGGTACACGAGAAAAGCCTATAAAGAACCACCAAGCATAAATAACAAAAGCAAAAGAAATAACACTTACCACTTTTACACTTTTTGTTTCTTTTTCATAAGTTATTAATGATGTTACTGTGGCGATACGACTCGAAACAAGACTTCACTCCGCCTTGAGACCAGTCTATTGTTTACTGTTACTGCAACCATGCCGTGCATGCGCTTAGGTAAAATAAGCCCATAAATGTAATTGATCTATCTCCATACAAATTATTGGACATTTAATCAATATTTGTAATGAATCACGATCATTGCATTTGAATATTCCTGTCATAATAATAGCGAAACAATGTTTGTCAATTGTTATATTATGCCGGATATGTAGGCCCAGTACTGTAATCTTACGCGACGTGCTTCGGCACACTGTACGAAACCGTCCTCTCTCTTGCTGGAGTTCCCTTCGTAAAGAAGTACGTTCCACTTTCTCTGCAAATCTCACTTATTTTGCACATTTCATTCATCGAAATACCTTATTTTGAGCTAACCATGTTATAAATGCAGGTTCATAGAACATGTGGACCGAGTGTGGACTCAAACCAAAATCAGAATCTGTCATTTTGGACAAGTTTTCTGTGAAGCACTTTTGGGAAACTGTGTGTGAAGTTTTGTGTGAAGATTAGTCGCGTGAAGCATACGGCTGTTTCATGTATGGTCTCGACGACTATTTATGTATTCGCTCTGTGTGTTGTTTACACAGGTTGACTCTTATAAGTGGAGAGAGCGGGTCTGCACAGTGCTCATAACTCAGATTACTATTTGCTCATAACTCGAATTACTATTTGCTCATAACTCAGATTACTATTTGCTCATAATTCAGATTACTATTTGCTCATAACTCAGATTACTTTTTACTCATGATTAACTCAGACTACATTTTGCTCAAGAGTGCACCTTACTCAGAGTATATTTTAACCATATCATAATTAAGCCCATAACTCTTAATTGAGATTTAACTCATAAATAGCTCATTTCCTAAACTGTATTACGCCTTAACTATTTTGGGTACTTACATCTGGGCTATATATATTGCTGGACGTGTTGATACTTGTTCAAAGCAAGACAGTAAGATAACCGTATTTCAATATTTGACGCTATTCTTGTAAGCTGATGTGAAATACATTTACTATAGTTCATCATTGCAAATTTAGTTGAATATTTGTATGGATATAGTGATACAATGCTTACACGTAGAACATTTACATTGTGATAGCTGAGCATATCTTTGACATACTATACTACACATATTGCCAAACATTCTTGATATTTTTGTCGCTGGTGGCCCACCACTGGTATTCTTTGGCATAAGCTGTGGTATAGGCTTTCTATTATAGCTTTTGTGTCTTAGCATAATACTTGTCAACATCCTTTAACAGATTTGACGTGAAAGATATTTTACTCAAACTTAGCATATTTTAACCGGCTGATTTCCGGATAGTATTAATTTCTTTCACTAATTGTCTACAATTTACTCAAATAAGATAAAGTTTAATCAAATCATTGGAAAACACCTTGGCGGTAAATATTGCCTTCAATTCGTGCTAATTTGATTGTTTTCCCCTTTAATTGCCAAGGAGATCTATTCTTAATTAATCTTTGTGTGAAAAAAAGTAAGTACCCCAACAATGTTTAAAGTCTAGGCACCATTTTTACCGTGTACATATGTGGCCGGGGTACTGTTTTCAAACTTGTGTTAAAATCGAAGTATGCCTCAAAAATGGCTGAGTGATTATGTCTCCCAATCGCTGTCAGCTTTAAGTCAAGTCAAGACAATCACTCATTTAAAAAGTGGAAGAAAGATTTATTTGGAATGGAATCCTCGGTATTTTTAATTTTATTTCCTGCACCCGATTCACGAAGCGCTGCGACGCGTCGCAACTCGAGTCACGACGTGTAACACGTCGCAACTCGCGACGCGTCGTATCTCAGTCCATTTCACGAAAGTTGCAATGTGTTGAACGCGTCGTAAGTTCCTTGACAACGGCTTAAAACACGTCACAAGTTACGACGTGTCTAGTGGTCATCGCAGAATAAGAAGAGTCATTTCTAAGCCAGTTTTATGCCATAAGCATTACATTAACGAGATTATAATACCGAGAAAATGTGTGTAAAGTTTTAACTATAAATTTCATTGAATAATTATGAGTTAGACCGGAATTTTAGAGTTGAAATTTCAAAGTAGCTAAACAGTCCAATGAGAGCTTGTTTTCCTTCAAAATTGCATCGCACGGCCGCCATTTTTACGTTTTAACAAATTTCGAGCTCAGATCCCACGATTCTTTGTTGAATATCAGACGACTATTTACTGTACGCTGACTAAATACATAAAGCAGTGACCGAGTTGTGCTATAAATACACCTACGACGCGTCGCACTTAAGACGTGTTTTGTGAAATGGATCGCAGGACGCGTCGCAGCTGCGACGCATCGTAGGGATACGACATTTGGCATCGCTGCAATGCATCGTAAGTTACGAAGAGTTTCATGAAATTGGGTGCTGGTTTGCTTGTTGGTATCGATTATTTGTACATGTATTCGATTATGAATTCTGTTTTTATGATCCGTCCTACTGGGCCATCTTTGAGTGACAAATCGTGCAGACACTAACTTTTGTTCTGCATGATTTTTTTTCACGGGAAACAATCAGCCATGCACCTTCTGTTCTAATTCACGGCTGAGTGATGATAGATAGGATTATCCACCATCCATTCATCAGTCGTCGATGGAGTGCCTCCAGGCTTTGAAGTGTCATTGTCACTTTCCGGTACGACATCGGTGTCACCTCCCTTAGTCCCCATGACACCGCTGCTGCTGCTGCTTTAGTTGACATGTTCGTACACGGTGTCCTCGTCCTGTGTCCCCTGAGTGACGAAGTCGCAGACAGTGTTGTCCGGGACGACACTAAGACCATGTTCCACACTCCCATCCATATGCGGTACGTCTGCGAAAGTGACCAATCCGCAAGAAGTGTCCAACTGAACTTTGACCCGGGAGTTTTGCTTCAAACTGACTGCGGTAGTTTCCCTCTTGGCCCCATGCACCAATTCCGTAACTGTGTCAGGGATTAAAGAAGCGGCAACGGTCGTCGCATCGTCGCTCCTATCTCCGGAGATTCCTGCATTTGTGTTCTCACTCTCGAGTTCTCGATGCCTCTTCCGTTTCAGGATGCACATCACTAGCAGACAGCCGACAATCATAAAGAAAGGGGTAAGTAGTGCCGCTGCAATTATGCCAGTGTTGGAATGTGTGACATTTGAAGTCTCTGCAGCTACCGTTGAAGTCTCTGCAGCTACAGTAACAGCTGTTGGAACTCGACCAGTGGCGGTTGGGGTATTAAGAAAGATGGAACCGATAGAGCAACTCCGATTCTGTCCTGGAAATGCAGAACTAGTCACCGTGCATACCAAGACTTGATTCTGCAGGTGCTCCCCGAGCTTAACAACACTCCTCACGCGTTCGTTCTGCGGTAGTTCAGTGCTGTAGATGCTACCTGTGACTTCCTTGTCAGAATGGTCCACTCTCCAAGTGATGGTTACCTCAGGGTTGCCGATCGCAGTGTCGCACCACACGGCGATGCTTTCGGTTGAAATCTCATCGCTTTCATTCGTGGCACAGATCGGGTTTTCTGCCGGAAAGTACTGCACCGATACGAAGATGTATCCTAACAAGTTATCACCGCCCCACGCAGCGTAACAAGTGTACCTTCCAGCATCCGATTCGGTGATGTCGGTTATTTGCAAAGAATATGCACTGTGCTCGCCAAACGAGCGAGTTGCAATGGAAACTCGGGGATCATTTGTCTGAATGATGGAATTCTGGGTGAGCCAATTAGTGTCTTCGGATCCATTTGACTTACCCCACCAAACTCGATATAAATCTTTGCCCGAGGCAGAGCAGTTCATAGACAGTGTCTTGCCTTCTGTGATATTAATGAACTCGCTGGCTGGCCTAGCTGAGTCTTTTGTCAGAAACAGAGGTGTCACTTCTCGAGGAATGCAATTCAGCAAAACCACACCCATCAGAAGGAAGAACACGTACCTCCAAGACG